GAGGTGGGAGACTGGACGAAAATTGTCCAGGAGGGTGGGGTCTAGCAATGGTTTATTGAGGAGTGGGTGGACCAAAGCTTTTAGCTGGCAAACTGCTGTGTACCCAGAATACACATTTCTGATGTAGCAGTACAGCCCTAAACTTACATTTGATGTACCTTTTAAAATGCATTTACTTAATTGACAACTGAATTTTATTTGTTTGCCTTGAAATTTTAGTGTAGAAACTATAAAATTATTTGAGATATCCATCTGCCTGCTTCAGTTCAAATGCTGTTTTCTTCTGAGCATTTTAAAAAGAATTATGTACTTTGAAATCTTTATAAAAACAGATTTTATAGTGGACAGAATCAAAAATAAAATAGTTTTTTTTCCCTTTTGGTTAGCATGCATATGCTCTAGAACTTCTATATGAACAATTACACGAAGGAGCCAAAGCCCTTGATGTAGGATCTGGCAGTGGTATTCTTACTTCATGTTTTGCCCGGATGGTGAGAGATTGATTTTATTAAATAAATGAAATGTTTTGTTTTTGTTAGTCAATAGATTAATTACACTATGTTTTAATCTTTTAGATCTTTAGAAAACTGTTTCAAGGGTTTAGTTTTTAAAAATATGAATATTCCTTTATATTAATAAAACACTTTCATACTTTGACTAGCTGCACCCAAGTTATCTTGACCACAAAATATTGCCATATACTTCAAGAAAGTGCATGAAGCTGGAATAGCTAAAACCAGCTAATTGACTTGTTTTTTTAAAATTTAATCTCACCTAATAGTTGAAGTTTTTGAAGAAGGAAAAAACTTAAAAAAAACAAATAGTAAGAAATTCCAAATAATTTATGCCCTAAAGCAGTACCTACTCTCTCATTCAAAACATTTCAGAACTAGAAAGCAAGCAGGCATTTGGGGATGCTGTCCAGTACTTTGTAAAGCATGCAACATTCATCTCCTGTGACAGTAATCTTTAGATTTGGAAATTGCCTTCAACTACAACTAGCAACATTAATTTTTGGTAATAACTTGAAATGTTTAATTTTACCTAGTCTTTCTTTTGTTTGTTTTCTAGTAAATACAAGAACTGTTTCTTTTATCAGTTGAAGCCAATTGATACCCTTTTCACACCTTTTCAGTGAGCATCTGTGTGGGGGCAAGGAAGGCCAGTGACAACTTGTGCATGATGACATCATACAAATGGGATTACTTGAATCATATGTGACAAAAATGCATAATTGTGGCATTTGCATGACGTTATCACATGTGTTATTTTGTTGTCATCTCAATTTATTATAGACCCCACTGTCATTTCTTAAAACAACAACAACAACCAAAAACCTAAATAGGCATGTCACTGGTATAACCCCTCCCAATGTAGGGGTTATTAAAAAACCAGTGCTATATAATTTACACTGTGTTTCATTTCAGAAGGCAACATATAATCAAACAAAGAAAACACTTTGTATCTAACAAAATAACCCATCCATGCATTTCACAACAGAACTTTTAATATATTCTATTGTAAGTGTGATGCCTTGAGATACACGTACATTCTAATATGAAAAGAAATTATAACTGGCAACATATTTTACCAGTATGAATAATAATACTCTTGATTTTGTTTCAGGTTGGTCCCAAAGGACAAGTTGTAGGAATTGATCATATCAAAGAATTAGTTGATGACTCAATAAATAATGTCAAAAAGGATGATCCTCTATTGCTGTCTTCAGGAAGAGTGAAACTAATTGGTAAGTACTGGAGAATATTACAAAGAAATAAATAGAGATTACATTGCATAGTGCAGAATTTAAATTTTGTGTTTATAAATTAGGTTGCATTCCTCCGTTCTTTCTTTTTTTTTTAATTAATTGAATTTATGTAGCTGCTGGATCACAATAGACTCAGGTTGGCATACAGATAAAAAACAAAACACAGGAATACAGGAATGTTGACAAAAATTTAAAAAACAGAAATAAAAATTATCACACACAAGGCAACTACACACAGTTCAGAACAGCCAGAGTAATCAATGAGAATAACACCTCAGTGCCGGGGTGGGGGTGGGAGTGGGGAACAGCCAGTTTTAAGAGCCTTTAGAAAGGCAGGCAGCATTGGGGCCATCTGAATTTTGTGGGAAATGCTCTTCCATAAGGCAAACATAGTGATAGAGAAGGCCTAGATCCTTCCAAATGACACTATTTAAGCAATGGGACCCTGTTCGTTACCTGCTATAGAATGGCCAGAGCAGTTGACATGAATCTAGATAATCACATCTCAAAGATTGTGGAGTTAAACAGCAGTGACCTGTTGAGCACTTTGTGAAAGAGAACTGTTAGCAAACAATCATTTTGAAGTTCTGGGGCCTCCAAATCTGACAACTATATCATGAAAAACGCTTGAAAACCCTCTTTTTCACAAAGATTTAGTTAATAGGTACTTGAACCAGCTTCTGGCTAGTGTTGTGAGCTAAAAAGAAAAAGGACTGGGTATGTAGATTGTAAGCTGTGTTTATCCATGAAACTTATCCACATGATCCTAGGAAAGCACACTGTGTTAGAACTATTTATACCATGTAATTCTCCAACCTTATTCATTTTCACTATGAATTCCAGTTGGAAATACTATGAAAATTTAAATGGCTATTTTTTTACTACCTTTGTGGTTTCATGTCAGCTAATTTTGACATTCCAGATAAATGTTTAACCATTTAGTTAGAAATTCAGTGATAAATTCAGTGCTTTGACTATAACATTAAATTCTTTGTCCCATTTTTCCTGCAGTGGGGGATGGAAGATTGGGATATCCAGAAGAAGCTCCATATGATGCCATACATGTTGGAGCTGCTGCACCTGTTGTACCACAAGCAGTAAGTGTGTGTGTGTGATACATGTCTCTCTTAAATGAAAAGGAATGTTAAGAATTTGCTTAAACATCATTTAAATAGGAGTTTTAATTGTATTTTTAATATCAGAAACATATTGTAGAAATGGAAATTACTTAATTAGGCATATTAAACTTATTAAATCATGTTGCTGGAATTTGGAGCTACAATGTGTTTGAGTTTTAAAAAGCTTTTAGCACCCCAGGCCCAAATCCCATTCATTTTTACATAGGTTCATGAATAAGGTGAAGATTCTACAAGTTACTTCTTACTTCCTTTCCTTTTTCATATTTCCAAAATGTATATTTCAACTATGATGGAGGTAAAGAATAGAGAGGGGTTGAGTTGTTCTTCTAATCTTATTAGGCCTGAAAACCATTACAGTCAATTTTGCAGTGCAGTAATAGAGGAATTATTGTTTTACAATTCTATAACTATATTGCAAGGTAGGTGCTTTTATAGATTGTGCTGTTAATATATGTATATTTTTCCATTTATAGCTTATAGATCAATTAAAACCTGGTGGAAGGTTAATATTACCTGTTGGTCCTGCTGGAGGAAACCAGATGCTGGAACAATATGATAAGCTAGAAGATGGCAGTGTCAAAATGAAGCCTCTGATGGGAGTGATATATGTGCCTTTAACAGATAAGGAGAAGCAGTGGTCCAGGTGGAAGTGATTTTCAGTTCGACTTTCTTCTTCCACTTACTTGCTTAAACAAGGTGAAAGGGTCTTGATTCTTAAGAGGGTAGCTTGCCACTGCATCATTTGCTGTCACTACTGCTTTCTGCTTGACTCTGCATTGGAAAGAGAATCTTGCTTCGCTGCATGACCATGCATTTTTTTTTAATGTGCAACATTAAAAGGTGGGAAAAAAAGAATTGCATGGATTGCATGTTATTTCAATATAATTTATTGTTTCTTTAAATTCTGTAGTATAAGCTAAATAATAATCTCCATTGCTTAAAGGTATTCCCTAAATTTAAAGCTCTTTTTTCTTCTTAGATTTGATTTCAACAGAGAGAGAAAAAAAAATGTAGAGTGGACTTTGGTAACCTCAGTGGTTCAGAAAATAATTGATTGATTATTGATTAAATTTTGTACAAAAATAATATTTCAAATTCAGATTTCTTTCCGAGTCATAAAAAAAATGAAACATAGTTCAGAAACCTAGAGGAAGCAACACAAATGATATATTCTAATTTTAACTGAACAGGTTTTAGAAAAGTATGTTGTGCTTACAAAAACTGCTAAGCCAAATTCTTTGTGTTTGCAAGTATCAGAATATTTTTTTCTTTGAAGTGTGATAAATTTTGTTAGATTTCTTCAAGCTGACAGACTGTTCTTCCTGTTCAACCAGTTATTTTTAAATAACTCATATGATTTCTCCAAGCTTGCTAATTACCCAGTAATACAGAGCAAACATAAGGTAGTCAGCATTAAACACTTGCCAGTTATTAATATACAGTTAAGTAAACCAGCAGTCTCACTTTGCTACTGGCATAGAAATGATATAATATTTACTTTTGTACCAGTTGTAAAGTGCCTATGCCCAATGAATTCTTGAAATCTGTAGCAGTTTGATAGTAGACTTTATTAAAATTATAGCATTTGTAAATACTAAGTGTATTACATTTTGCATGATAGAAATGGTTTTGCAGATGTATGTAGCTATACTGTAGATAGATATCTGCCTTCTACTGAAGGCTTGCTGTTTTTTATGTGAGCATGATTGAATTATAGCCTACCAGAAGTTTGTACAAAAATAATATTTCATATTCAGATATCTAAATTCTGTGGAGCAAATTAATCATTGTTGTAATGCCACTGCATAAAAATATATTCATATCCTATGCTTGAAGCTACAACACAGAGTTGAGGAGAATCCTGTGACAGCAGTGGAAGACCACTAATGTAGTATTGGATTTCATCCTCATTGATGTGCATTGGTCCTTCCATACCTTTATATCTAGTGTAGGCTTGTAATATTTATTTCAAAGCTTAGCACTTGCCTAATTCCTTTTCATAAGCAGTTACTTCCCAGTATATTTTTTCTCATTGTTACTATAATTGATTCTCTGTATGGTGGGGGAAGGGGACAAGCCTATGCACATCTATTTTAGGCAACATGAGTCCTTTGCTTCGTTATAAATATGCACTGGTGACAGATGGTGCTCTCATTTGTCCTTCTACTCACAGTTGCATATCTGCTTATAATCTCATGACTGGTCTTAGGCAGGAATAGGCATTCTTGAAATATTCTATTGTGGCTTGGAACAGTAGCTAATAAGGGGGAAAATATGGAAAAGAGAGAGAGATGGCGAATCTCTATCACTGAAGTAGTTATATGGGAGATTGCTGTCTAATTTCTTTCCAAAATTATTACTTTATTTTATGTAACTATGAAAGTGAATTAAGGAAGGCTTTTCTGAATCATATACAGCGGAACCTCGGTTTACGAACTTAATTCGTTCCGTGACTCTGGTCGCACCCGGAATTGGTCACAACCCGAAGCAAATTTTCCCATAAGGTTCAGTGTAATTACCGTTAATCCGTTCTGGCGTGGAGAACAGGGAGGCGGCTATTGCTTGGAGGGAGAGTCCCCCTCCCTACGACCATGTGTCAGGGGCAGAAAATGGCCGCGGACCACATGTCAGGGACGGAAAATGGCCGCAGACCATGTGTCGGGTGGGAAAATGGCCACGGACCACGTGTCAGGGGCGGGAAAATGGCCGCAGACCACGTGTCAGGGGCGGAAAAATGGCTGCGGACCACGTGTCAGGGGCGGGAAAATGGCCATGGACCACGTGTCGGGCAGAAAAATGGCCGTGGACCGTGTCACGGGAGGGAAAATGGCCGCGTATCCTGTTCGT